TGTTTCATCGTGTGAGTTAGGTTACCGGAGGCCCAATTACCCCTCTCCTTAGTCTCCCTAGTCCACATCCTCAAATTCCCAATTCCCAAAAGGCCGGTAACGCACTTGTAACGCCTTGGTGTTTCGGGTGTCCATGGGCGCCGCCGATTGCTTACCATCAGATAATCCGTCTGCTCGTTTACCGCCTTATGCTATAAAAAAAGTTATTTTTAATTTAATTAATTAATTAATTAATCTTTTTCTTTTAATGTGTTCCTAAATTCTTGTTGTGTGTCGTAGCAAAATACATGGTTTTTCTTTCTTTCTTTCTAATTTAGTTCTGTCTCTACAAATTCTTTGTAAAATGACAGAGATGGCACGATATTTAAGTACGATTTCAATTTGAGTAGCCTTTCAGTAATCAGGCGTCTGTTTATGAACACAACATACTACCTAAGTTGCAATCGAAGTGAAGTACCTATGGTGTCATGATGTTTTAATTTAATGTTAATAAGATTGTCTAGTTTGCGATATTACGATATCGTGTCCCAGTATTGTGTAAAAATTTGTATTTATTCACACAATGAAAACATTTTTATTGCACTTCTTAGTGTATCGTCAGCATGTCCTACGAGATACGCTGTGAAAGGATGTAGGTATAAAGGGAATTTCAAATGAACTTATCTTGTTTCATGAAAGCCACAGATGTGTTAAAATTAATAAATTATGTATGTAGATACTATCAATAAATGTAATACTTATCTAAGTACTATGAATAATGACGTTCATAATTCTGATCACAAATAATAAATGTAAATATTATAAAATAAGTGTTCGGTTTCAAATATCAACGCTCTGTTTATAGTTGTGTACTTATAAATAAAATATTTAGATGAAGAATATAATATTTTTTTATCGCAGCACAAATGGATAGTTCCTCTTCAAACTTCAATATAAATGTTTAAGTATTCATTGTGACAAATGAATATTTTGACTCGGAATATCACTAAGCGAGTACCACCGAGCAATGATACAGATGAGTTTGTTATTTGACATCCCCCATAAATCAAGGCTAGGGGTGTGCATCCCCAGCGGCGAGCGATATTGTTTCTACATTTGTGGCTGATTGATGACAGCCCTAGCACCATGGCTGCCCGTCCTACAGTTTGTAAATTATTAAACTATTCATAGTTACCTAACCTTTGTGCATTTTTTATCTATAGGTAATGTTTTCAATAATAAATTCCTAACCACCTGCTTACCATAACTCCTATTTTAACCTCACCTCGTAGTTCTTTAAATCTAGATATAACTCACGCTTGCACCCTTGCTTGTCTTTATACAAAGTAAATAAAGATTAGCTAGACTATAACTAAACTTTATTCACCCCATCTTTAGCGACGCATCTACATTGAGCAGTTTTGTTAAGCAAACAAATAAACAAATGCCGAACAAATATTTGTTAAAGAATATAACGTGATAAAGTTATAACATGCACTTGGTATTTCGTCGTGAATTGGGACGGAGACGTGGCGAGGTAGTGGATGCGGGCTTGAGCTCAGACTGGGGACTGGGGAGCGTGTTTGCGCAAGCTGTTAAAAAAGCCCGCCCTCGCATCGGCTGCGCCCAATTAGGGCGGCGACGCTGCTGATTGGGCGTAATCGTGTTAGTATCGGCGACAAACAGCCCCCTGCACCGTGTCTCCTGTCTCCACAACACATACAACCTCACTCGATTATTGTTTAAACTGCCTTTACATCTACTTAAGGGGCAAATTCTAATCATTGTTACGATCTTGGTAACATAGTTTGCAATTCCATCACAAATTCCATTATAAATGCTTATATATTATTGAAAACAATCGATTGTTAATGTACTTACATTAATGTACGCACTTACGTAACATGAGATTACTTACGAATAGGTAGTTATTGATTAGCTAATCAGTACGGAAGAAAAAACTGTACTTATTAGGTACAAACTAATTTAATTAGTTTTTTTCTTATCCCCAACTCTAGAGACCCTCACTGTCAAGTTACAGCCGCAATAACTAAGTGCTCAATGCAATGCTCATACTTTAACTACTGTCTATTTACTCTTGTATATATATACTCAATAGGCCACTATTTATCTATGAATAAACTGTACAGAATGGATGTTATAGAAACTGCTCAAATACATAAACTGAAGAAAATTGATCAGTTCTGTTAAAATGGGTTGGCTACACTTAGCTCACCATAAAGTTTAAGCTTTTGTTTTCAAAACTGTCTACAGAATTGTGTATGATAGTTTTTAATAGGTTCGATATGTACCTATACCTATATATCAGATACCAACACCACATCATCTACACCTATATCTACCACATTTTTAACTGTACTTAGGAAAAATAATGAACTACATATCTGCCTATCGTTTCGAGTTTTTACTCGAAAGGATAGGCGTAATATGTGATTCATGTCGCGGAGAACCTAACGGGTTACTGGCTCGAAGTGCAGGAGTAGGAACGGGGTGGTTTTTAGTCAGTAAGAGTCTGACACTCCCACCCGCCTCACCCAGGCGGAAGCAGTCATTCGATGATTTACCCCCTTAAAACAATGTGATTCATAGTTATAGCACAGGAAATACGTATATAGATATAGATCAGAGGTACTTTGGGTATAGCTGGGTTCACAATTGTCAAAAATAATGACAAGGACCTAAACAACTAAAAATCGCGTACACAGTAATTTTTCACTCGTGACGCGGAAGAATCGATCGCAATCTCGAATGCATTTTATAGGTTTGATCAATCAGTAAGCTGCGTAACATCGCCGCATCCGCGCACGCTACTCACGAGGAAGAACCCCTCTGTGGTTCGAAACTAGTAGAGCTTTTCTCAGTACATCGTGAGTAACCCGCGATTTTTGTTAAGACCTAAATCGACGAACCCAATAATACTTGTCGCGCCCCAGATAGAATGAGAGACCTCTTTCTCCGCATAGATGAACAAAAATAAAATAATAAGCAAGACACTATTGTCTTGTCTATACATGCGAAGGGAAAATACTTCGATATTACAATAAGTGTTACTATTACATTAGTAATGCAATAAGAGGTACCTTGATTAAACAATACCAGTGTGTATAATGTTATCATAGTTTACAGAAAGTAAACTGCGATAACATTATATAATTATACTCTTAAATATGGTTAAGTACAGTCATAACCGGTTCAAATCAATTTCTAAAAAGCCATATATTTAGCTTGAAGACATGTATGTGGAAATATAAAAAGTGGGTATTGTACAAACCGCTAAAAGGAAATAAGATTTTAATGACAAATGCATATGACGTGTAGGGATAACCGCTTTATAATGTTTAGCTGACGTTATTGATCTACGTGTATTTCACTATGGTTCTTGCGTTGAGGTAAGATATTACAATTAAGGACTTTCCTTTCCTTGTTTTCGTCATTTAGTTCCTTCGTAATGTTCCTCTTTCCTGTACTACTAGTATGAATCACAAATTACGCCTTTTTCCTCGAACGGATAGGTATACAGATATTCAGATGTCATTACTTTTCCTCAGATAAAATTACTACTACTAATAATAAAACTATTGAAAAATATCGAGCATGATTCTATAGAATATGATTTTTAAAGCAAACGTTTAATCGTTTTATCCATAGATAAGTTTTAATGCGACTCGTTTGAATAGAATCGAACTTTTAACTTCCTGTAGCTTAGGTATGTACCTAAGCAGTTCCTATAACATCCATGTTTATAACAGATCAAAATCGACATATTAGATCTATCACACTAATATTATGTGAAAGTTTCTTTATTTGGATGTTTATCGGCCAATCAAGCTGAAACTAATAAACGGATTTTGATGTAGTTTGTTAGACTTACTTGATAAGATACTTTTTATCCCGATCAAATACTCCCATGGAATAAAACAGGAATCATATTCTACGCGGACGAAGTCGCGGGCAACATCTAGTTATTAGATAGAATGGATCATAGATCTTGCGGTTGTAACTTAGCAATGAGGGTTCCTAATAGTTGTAACTTAGCAATGAGAGTTCTAAGAGTCAGAGGTACAAGTAGAGGGCAATAATATAGGTACTTACCTACTCCTTGATAAAACAATACCAGTGTGTAGCATCATGCCACATCTCAGCAACGGCAACGGTTTTTAAGTTATTGACTAATGTTTCTAGTTAGGCCATCTATTTCTCAAGTAGATACTAGTACCCATTGGCATTAGCAAAACATTTACGTGTAATAACCGAAGTGGGTCATCCCATTGAATATTTAGGTACCTGTTTCGTCAATCCTATCATGAAGTTAGTTCATATTTTGATTATAATTATAGATATTATTATGTTCTAGCTAGACATTTAGCAAATAAATAGCTAGTTAGTATAGAATTGACTCCTTGTCTATTTTAAGTACCTAGTAGGTAGGTAAGTAATTATGACCATAAATATACAGACACCTACCGTGCCTTCATGAGAAATCAACTGTGATGACATGTTGACCATATTGTTTATAATTAAGGTACTAGATCATAGATAATACCCATACATTGTAAATTTTATTCATTGGTTTAAAGTTATTTTAAACCAATGAATAAAATTTACTTACGTAAATGACTGACAAAAAGCTCTACTAGTTTCGAGTAACAACGGGACTTATTCTTTTCTTTATTATTGACAATACTCCAAGTTTCCACCAATTATGTATCTATATGCATAGAATATATGTTGTAGTTTATTTGACCGTAAACATTATAGGTACTTATTAACACAAACACTTTTCCTAATAGCACATCATCCGTCAGTTACGTACAGTCGATACAATTGAGTTATACCTATATAACGGAGTGTTACTCAGTGGCGGCCAATATTATACGGCTTGACCTGTTACTGAAAATATACCTAGCACAATAAAGGTTATACGATCGTACCAGTGCCAGTGAAACTGTGAAACATTCAATTCTGATCTTGATTTCGAGCGCAGTGCACGACCACCGACCATGCATTCTAAAACAATTTTACCTTTAATGTTATTTAGTTTATTTAAATTGTATTATTGTGTAGAAGACGTAACCCCTCCTCCAGGATCAACGTTTTATTTCGCGTACGGCAGTAATTTGTTAACCAAACGGTTGCATCTCAACAACCCATCGGCGGTTTTCTACAGCATCGCCAAACTTGCGGTAAGTTTAATTTTACTAAGACAGTTTGATAACACATTTATGAAAGTATTGTAGTATCTATACATATAATAAAATCGTAGGAAAGTGAAAACTATGCATAGAATTTTTTTTGAAGAATGCTTGATCATCAAATGATAAGTACTAAAGCTAAAATTATTGGTTTTTAGATTTTTTGTCTGTATATATGTACAGGCTAAACTCAATAAGTACTACATGGATTTACTTCAAATTCTGCATAAGTATTACAAACATCTCGGGTTAACATATAAGCTACATATTATCACGCTATCACCTATGGGGGAGGAGCTGTGAATCACTATTCCACGCGGACGAAGTCGAGGGGAAAGCTAGTTTAAGTGTACAATAAATTATTTTTCTGTCTCTAGATACTTTTTCGTGTTACTTATGTCAGGTAGCACTTAGTTTACAGTTTATGAGAAGCTCCATTCTCTTCGTCAATTCCAAATTACGTAACAATTTGTAATACTTATTTGTGTAAAAAACTCACTACACGAAAAACTATGTTATGTCCGATTGTTTCGTACCTACCATACCAGTAAACTAGTATAAACTAGACGACAGACAATGGCAACAATCAACAAAATTTAAGTACCCGTTTCCTGAAAATGAAATCATAAAAGGTTTTATTGTTTATCTATGAGAATAAAATTGGTTCACAACTTATTCAAAGAGATGTTTATTTTTATCTGTATGCGAACATAATTTCATAATAAACGCGTTCATGACAAGTTAGTTTAAAGTCCTACTCACCTAGTCGAAAAGATAGGATACTTCAATTTAGTCAAAAAGTTACGAGGCCATTTTATGATCGAATCTGACAAGAATAACGATTTAGATTCCATTAATAATAATAAGTAGTAGATATTTACGCGACTCTCAGAAAGTGTCAGCTGCTGCATAAATGCAGTCTACCCATAACAACATAACAATAAGTCGCGGATAACCTGACGGGCTACCGGGGCTGCGGCTCGACTTGCAGGAGAAGGAACGGGGTGGTTTTTAGTCAGTAAAAGTCTGACACTCCCTCACGGCTCACCTAGGCGGGAGCAGTCATTCGATGATTTTCCCCCGTTAAAAAAAACCCATAACAATAACATGTCGGAATAAATAAGGTAAGCAGGTAACCTGAATAACATCTATCTTGTTACATTATTTTTCAAGCTATATTTTCATTTTTCAGGATTACAGATTAGATTTTAATTATCAAATGGAAGCCTGGCAAGGCGCCGTAGCTACTATCGTAGAGGACAAAGATGCCCACGTCTGGGGCACCGTTTGGACCATGGATACTGACCAACTGCATTATCTAGACGAGTAAGAATTCCGTACTCAAAATATTTTTAATATATTGTTAAGATTAACTGCTGTTTTGAATAATTGTGTAAATTGTATATATCTAAACCGAGGGTTCGGGTTCGATTCTCGGATTAATGAGTATTCCCTAATGTATTAGGAAAAACGTACTCAGTGTACCTATTCCTTCCTTCTTTCTTTCTTGTTAGTAAAGTAAATTTAAAACATGGTTATCAACAGTCAAGAAGGTGTGGCGATCGGTTTGTACTATGCCAAGAACGTGACTGTGACGACACCTAGCGGCCAGCAGTTAGTAGCCCGCACTTACATAGAAACCATAAACCCTGAGAAAGCTGCAAACGGCACGGACATCCCTATGGAAAGACGCCCTTCTAATACCTACCTCGAGGTGAGTCAGGCTTGGCTAAACCTGTTTACCTACCCTACTTATGTTGAGTTTTTATTGTCTTGACTTGTTGAGCAACTACATTATTGACAACAATATGGACACCTTGTTTCCTTTTTGTTTGCGTCTATTCATTTGAATATACGACTTTATGGGTTATAAAAAATTTGGCGCTGACTGTAACCTAATTACATTCTTTTCCAACTTCAATTATGTAACTGATCCATTCTGTAGGATTTAAGAAACCAGATTATTTATTTTACGTACCTATACACCAACTCTACGTGGTCTGTAGTCTTTTAATAATATTTTTTTTTATATTACAGGTCATCGCACTTGGTGCAATCGAATCCCACCTTCCAGCTGATTACATAGGTTATATTTTCTCTTTTCCAACAAATGGAAAAATGGCTAGCAAGACTAGAAGAGAAGAGTTAGGATATCCTTTTTAATATATCTACAAAAATATTGCCTAATACCTAGGTAACTCCTGTGATATGCACCTATAATAAGTATTATAAATACGTGTAGGTACAGACTATACCTAACCCATCAGTGCCTTTGGCCGAACGCCACTTTAGCGCTTGTCTACAGAGAGAGTAGAAAACTAAATGTATGGGGATGACCCTGACAAGTGTCAAAATTTACGTCAATTCCATTCCATAATTTGGTTTTCTATTCTACAAGTAGACAAGTGCTAAGTGGCATTTGGCTATAGCTGCAGGCTACCAACTGATAAAACTTATAATAATAAGTATTATGAGTATTTAATAATAAGTACTTGAAACTTGAACTTGAAGTTTCTGTCTCTTGACCCCTAACTACCGGTAGCTTGGGCCATGCTCCCGCTACTGGTCGGCTCCTATTTTTATATTTTTGAATATTATTTTTCTGTTTTTTGTATGTAGTATTTAAAAATGTTACTTTAGTCACGATTTCACTATGTCGCATGTTGGTCTAAGAACGTTTTGTTGAACCATTCAGAGTAACTTGGTGTGCTAGTGACTGTACATTAACTACTTTATTAAATAAATAAAATTAGATGCTTAATTATATTTCGTTGTTTATTTTATCCACCTACTTAAGCATTTTTAACCGAATTCCCAAAAAGGAGGAGGTTATCAATTCAGCTGTATTTTTCTTTTTGTGTGTATGTTACTCGATTACTCCGACGGGGTCATATCTCGGGGTGGTCCCATTTCCACCAGGTCAGGATCTGATGATGGGATCCCATGGAAACCGAGGGGAACTTACCACTACAATTTGATGAAGGTATGGAGTTGATCTGATGATGGAGTCAAGAGACTGCCAAGGGAACTCCTCGAGGATTGTAGGAATGATTAAAATAAATATTTTAAGCCCAAACACGGGGTCATTCCTAGATCTTCACATCTAGATGGGATGTAATTGTCATTAGGGGCCTGATGATGAAGTAGTATGATAGCTAAGGGAACTTTTTAACGGTTAACAGTAGCTACCTGGAGTTTGGGCTTAATTAATTTGAAGTGATGAGAACTTTACACCTAAATGGGGTATGACTGTCATTAGGCGCCTGAGGATGAAGGAGTATGATAGCTAAGGGAACTCCTAAACGATTAATAGCTACTATTAACCGTTTACCTGGTGTTTGAGCTGGAATAATTTGTAATGAGGAGAACTTTGCACCCATGTGGGATATACATAGTATGCTGGGTCTATATAACTAAAGAGCATAAAAATAATATCAAAACCTAAAAACAAGTAAAACAATAAAAAGCAAAACATAACTATTATACCTAAGTCATACGTACCTACTTATAGGTTACCCACCCACTGATAGGTTAGAAGTCGGTGCCACAAGCCCATAACAAAATATTAAGAATTATAATTTAGGTTAATGGTCATTGGTCATGGTTATAATCTGTCATTAAATTGTACACAGCTTAGGTAACAATATAAGTTACAATAATATTGTTACAGATTTAAAGAATAACTTTTGATTAATGGTACTGACCTCTTACCTATCAGTGGGTAGGTAACCCAGGGTAACCTATAAGTACATACGTATGACTAATATAATTACTGTATGTACCTCCTCCTTTCTTTCGTTAGAAGTCAGATACTGCCTCGTTGACCGAGTGGTCGCAAGTGCAACTGCCGGGCAAGGGGTCTCGCCTCTGGGGTTCGATTTCCGGGTCGGGCAAAGTATTACTGGGTTTTTAAAAAATTCTCAGTAGTAGCACGGAGTCTGGAATTGTGCCCGGTATATGGCAATAGGCTCACCCCCTATTACATGGGACTCATAACATAAATAGTGAAAAGTGGGTGTTACATTGTAGTCGCATAATGTGCATCTCTGCCTACCCCTTCCGGGCTAAAAGGCGTGATGTTATGTTATGTTCTCAACTCAACGCATACTGTGATGTCCTTCAAATGTTGTGAATTAGTAGTAAGATTTTAATTCCTAATTTTAAGTTAATGTTTAATACGTAGCAACAACTGGATGTCCAAATAAATTAATAAATTGATTTCGGCTATTAGTAATCAAGAATTACTTTTTATTTTCTCTTCTCCTCACAAAGTAGAACATCCTTTTGCTTGACGGTGGCCTATTGGCTTTCAACAACTTGCCTATTTCTATACCTAACCATGTCACGAGTTCAGTCTTGTCAAATAAATAAGTAGTTTGTTCCTTATCAGCCACTGTCACGTCAACATTATGAGGTTTTTGTTAATTTGCGTGATTGATAGGCGCAGGCAGCTGTAAATCGCGATTTTGGACACGATTATTTTTTCTCGAGGAGTCCCAGTTCGTTGGTGCTGATCGAGCTAATAAAAAGTAGAGTGTGAACTGCAAATGAGCAATGTGTCTTGTTCGAAGATTTAAGTTTTTAGGCAAGTACCTCTCTATGGTGGTACCTACCCTAAAGTTTGAGTTAGTGGGATTCCAAGAAGAAAGTAAGGAAAATTGTCCCGGAATACCTACAGTCGGCTCGGCTTGTTTGTGGTGATCGACACGTGTTCTTTATCGAAAGACGGTGAAAAAAATGGATAAGTCATGAAATGGTAGTCTGTCGATCATGGTCTTCTTGGGTCTTTATTAGTCAAGCCATAGTTTGTTTCTAAGATGGTACGTGGACCCTGTGGCTAGAGCATAAGGGCTGGAACGCTGGACTGGAACGTAAAATAGATTAAAAATACATGAAAAGATGCTGAAAAGTTGACATTAACAAGACAAGTGACACCGTCACACCAGAGTGACACAATCATGACATTTTAACTCCACCCGAGTCCCGAACACGATTCAAAGTGTATATTAGGTATTTACAAGTTGCAAATCTAGATTTATTCTTGTTTCTAATTCGAATCAAATAATAAATAATACTGGCAAAATCTCTAAAACTAGGATAACGCTACAGACTTGACTTGTATAAATATACAATATAATAACAGTACTCGAAGGTGACTTCTTTTAGTTTTGATAATTTTAGAAATTGAAGAGAAGTTTAATTGATTATGTTCATTGAGAGATATATAGTATGATTGTAGTGCCAAAATAAGTCTTTATAACTAAGGCAAGGGTAAGACAACTACAGCGAGCCAAAAAGTAACTAACCGTGAACAAATTTGTTACCTACCTATATCTTAGTCAGTGAATAACTTGTGTTCATCAAAATAATATTATAAATAATGAAGTATGTCGATGAACTGTATCTTTGGGTTCTCACTATTTCTTCTGTTACTAGTTGTTCTCAACATATACTTCTTTTACAACCTCAGTGTAGAGCACAGACCTGCTACTTTTAAGCTGCCTATGGTGAAGTCAGAACCCATACCGCCTGTAATCAAAGAAATAAACGAATACCTCAATCGTTTGCCTAGTCAATACCACACCAAAAATTCTAAATTTGTTTCTGTACAAAGAAATTTAATTAGCTCATTTAATTCCTCGGGAGCTAGTTTAGACAGTGTTTGGCAAAATGTTGAAAATGTAAGTACCTACTCGGACTTTATTGGGGATCAGATTAGTGTAAAGTGTTTATTGTAAATTTTAGAATGTTTGCACCATTGCATTATGATATAACTATTAAATGACAACAAACACATTTGCTTTGCAAAATTGTTGCAAATAATTAAAGAATTCTTAATTTACAGTGGGCTGATGAAGAGTCCTTGTTCCCCTATAAGAATGGTGCAGCAGGACAAATATTGCAAGCCATGCGCACCTCACAGATAGCGTTTGTTGACAATGCTCCCAAGGGTACGCAATTGAAGTTATTACTTGTGTTGAAGGTTTGTTCACTATGTAATTTCTTACATTTACTGGTTCACTTTAATTAATATTGCTCCTATCACTTGAAAAATAATACATAATTAATATTGGATGTCGGTTGAAGTAAAAATATATAATTTTCCAATAGGTTTATCCATTATACACAAGTGCAACTTATTTAGATAAGGCTGCTACCAAATTATAGTCAGGATTATTTTTAATTAATATTTTTATTGATACATGTATAAATGAATTATTTTAAATTATAAAAGCCTAATTATGTTTCAGGGAAATCAAAAACTATACTTTAAACCTAAAAGGTATAATTTAAGTGATGTCATAAGAGGCAACATATATGCTGGCTATGACCGCCATAATTCCGAAGTGTTCACATACTACCTTGCTATGGTATTGAACTACAAATGGGTCGCCCCTTCTGTTATAAGGAGGATTAATATAAACTATGACATTTTAGCTCATGCTGTGCCTGGATTGAAGAGAACTATGGTAAAAAATAGTAAGTAACTTATTAACAGTCAATAAATTCCTAATTCATTGCCTAAAAAGGTATTTAGTATAATATGTGGTAACTGTTTCCCTATTGACATCGATGTGGATGAGATTTTTGATGGTCTTTGTAAATAATTTTTTTAGTTTTATTTTATTTGTTGAGTCATTTTTAAGTTTTATAGTTCTAAATGTATATGCATATGTATATTAGTAATAATATTTAATTTCAATATGTTTTAAATTACTTTATTACATATTTTTAGGTCAAGGTTCAGATTGTATTTACGGAAAGTGCTATTATTGCAAAATAAATGAAACTGTCTGTCCTGACAGCACTGGTCACATCGAAGGAGCAGGCATTCTTTACTTAGATAAATATTTCAAAGTCAATAAGTCACCTTGGAGACATTCATATAATAGTAAGAAAATGGAATGGGAAAATGATAAAGACTTCTGTAAGTAAGTATTTTCCATCTCTTCTCATTCTTAGTTTAACAATTGATAGTTTCAAAATGTTCTTTGGTGTTATAACTTAATGTATGTTACAGAAAAGTCTCATCACTTCTCAGTACTAAGAGAATATTAAATTTAATTGATATTGCTATTATTGATTTCTTAATACAAAATGGAGATCGACACAGATATGAAGTATACAAACATAAAATACTCCTACTTGACAATGGAAAGGGGCTAGGTAATCCGATGTTGGATGAACTCGATATATTAGCGCCACTCTATCAGTGTTGCATGTAAGTAAATTACGAAAACAGTTAATGCTAGCAATTCTGTCACTCTTATTGTCTCTTACATAATTGACGTGTTTTTATGATGAAATATTCGAGAATAGCTACACACTTTGAATTTAACTTATTTATTAATTTTAAAACTTAAATTATGATTGTATTTATATAACATTTGATAACATTGTTAAATGGTTGGTATAACTCTGTCTCTAAAATTTCAGAATTTCTTCAAAGACATGGCAAATGTTAGAACTGGTGTCCGGCGGCAGTCTTACTGAGACAATACAATTGTTGGCTTCATTCCAAGGGGAAAAGCTTACCACTGATGACCATTACCGAGCTATAGAACGGCGACTTTTAAAGGTCTATGCTACAGTAATGTATTGTATAGGGAAACATGGCAGTGCTAATGTATTTCACAATATAGATGGAATTTAAATCAATAAGCCTTTTTTCTTTCACCGTAACGCTTGTATGTGTTGGAGACTCGAGTCGATAAATGATATTATAAATTAAGCCATTACAGAGCAAAGGCCTACTTTCCCTCCTTCTCTCCCCTCCGTTCGAAATTTTATAATTATGATGACGAGTTTCATTTTGGTTCGGTCTAACGCAGCGGATACGACTAGAGTTGAACTTACTGCTGGCTACCAAGCTGTTACTTGGATCTGTTGATTCTAGTAGTCTCATATTTTAGAAGTAAAAGGTAAACTCGTACTAGTGCTGAAAAAAACGTTAGAATTGGTGCAATTACCACTGATTTTCATTCATTATGTAGATTAGGTTTTTAGCTTTCGACTTGGTAATAAGCAAAATAAGGAGGGCTAGCTATTGCTCGCGTCTTCGGCCCCGAAGAATATGAATTTTAGGACGTAACTTGATTTGTTTCACTTTTTTAAATAAAGGTAACCTTATCTTTCGTATATCAGCTTTATGCCACTAAAAATCCTGTCAAAATCGCCCCAGCCATTCCAGAGATTAGCCAGTACAAACAGACAAAAAATATGAAAAATGTTATTTTGATATGTGTATCATAACATAACATAACATCACGCCTTTTATCCCCGAAGGGGTAGGCAGAGGTGCACATAGAAGTAACACCCACTTTTCACTATTTATGTTATGAGTCCCATGTAATAGGGGGTGAGCCTATTGCCATATACCGGGCACATTTCCAGACTCCGAGCTACTACTGAGATTTTTAAAAAACCCAGTAATACTTTGCCCGACCCGGGAATCGAACCCGAGACCCCTTGCCCGGCAGTCGCACTTGCGACAACTCGGCCAACGAGGCAGTCATATGTGTATCATATGTATATTCATATGCATGTAGTAAAGAGTGGTTAGTTATTTATTTACAAACAGACAGAAACCATTTTTGTTTTGGTAGTCTATTTTTGGTGTCAATGATAGACAAGCTGTCAAAAATGTCAAAGTAAACTTCAAAGTTCAAAACTGTCAAGTGTCAATAGTGTCAGTAATTGTCAACTTGTCAAAACAAGGTGGTGGTAATGCAGTATTTTGATAAAAAAACATGTTATTGTTATCGGTATTGCTCTGAGTTTGCATTTATTAACATCCCACACTTCTACGTAAATTCTATAAGCACACTGTTACTGAAAGAACATTCTAGGCCATTTTCTTAGTCTTGTAAATATGTTCGCAGAAGTTGAAAACACGTTCCTTTATTTCGCTTACGGAAGTAATCTGCTTAAAAGAAGGATTCACATCAATAACCCCTCAGCAAACTTCTTAGGAATAGGACGTTTAGAGGTAAGCACTTAACATCTCCGTTTTTTTATTTACAACCGAAACATTTCATATCAGGTGCTTACATGCAAGTGTTTAATTTTGTTTTTAAGTACTAACTTAGAAGTTTTCATGTGATATTCTTTTGATGAATTCCTGTGAAAATTTAAATACCAATTATTGTTACTCAATTTCAGGACCATCAGCTTGACTTTATTAAATATTCTGAACATTGGAGGGGAACTTCAGCCACTATTGTACCTAACCCAGGATCCCATGTATGGGGAGCAATATGGAGATTACATAATGATGACATGCCTGCATTAGACAAGTAAGTATAAATTATACATTCTCATTAACATTTTAAAATTATTTCAACATTAATGTCTTTATTACTAAAATCTTATTTCATTTTTAGGCAAGAAGGTGTCGACTCCAATTGGTATTTTGCTAAAAATGTAGACATTATACTACAGGATGGCTCGCAAGCCAATTGTAGAACTTATCAACAAACAATCAATCCACCAGTTAGAAAAAACGGTGAAGAACTACCTGAAGATCGCAGACCTTGTATTACATATTTAGATTGTATTGTAAATGGAGCAATTGAATGCAAATTACCTGAATATTACATTGAAGAACTCAAAAAAATACCAAACAATGGACAAGAGGCATCTCCTAGCATGATTGAGAAACTAAACCGAACTTCATAACTGTTTAGTACAAACTACAAACATATTTTTATGCAATAAGTTTCCAAGCTTGAAGCTGTGATGACTAATGTGACTATATATTATTAATAATTAATAATATAAATAAAAGGAATGTATCAAAATATTTTTTTAATTATTTCTATAAAGTTAAGAAATATTTATTTTATCCTATAGGTACCATTACATAAAGCTGAAGAGTTTGTTTATTTGAATGTGCTTATTTTAGGAACTACTGGTCCACATTAAAATTTATCGAGAAAGGTTATAGGCTACAAAACAATAAGATACAATCAAAAAGATCCGAACAGAGTGGGTGAAGTAGTTACATCTATACATATAATAAAATTGTAGAAAGTGCTGTCTGTACATTGAAAATAAAAAAAATAGCAGGGGTTATTGTTATGTCGATGTCGAAACCAAAAATGTAATTAACTTTTTTTTTGTCTGTTTGTCTGTTCACGCTAATCTCAGAAACGGCTGATCCGAGTTGGATGCGGTTTTCACGAATATATTGTGGTATGCTTCAGTTATGCTTTAGTGTTTGTTTCATGTCAATCGGTTCATAAATAAAAAAGTTATGTCAAATTAAAGAATCACGTCGTAAGTATATATTTAAAAAAAAAACGCTGCTCATAGTCACTATTCCACGCGAACGAAGTCGCGGGCACAGCTAGTTTAATATAAAAATGATGTGACATCATCATCATCATCCCCACGTATTTCACTCGCCTGAATCACCTACCTATATATATATATTTACATCCCGCAATCGTTTGGACGTCCCATGAAGGCGAAAGTGCATTTAATCTGGCGTCCACCAGCTTTTGACGTCCGCATACCGGACGCCACTTTGTTGGCCTATTTATAGGTCCTTTTGGTCCTGGCTACACGTAGGTTAAAAATCGACAGAGGCCAAAAGATCGGTTCAATGGCTGTTATAATATTTTGAAAAGTTCCCAAAGAAATCTCAGCGTAGATAGAGCGCTGCTGTAGCGCGTATATCCACAGCTGTATATTTTTGGGATTTTCTGATTATAAGTCCGCGTATTTGGCGTCCTCAAAAAAATAACAGCGACGTTGCCAGTTCGCTCAGTAAATCCGTGGAAATAGTTCATAATATTATTTACCGCATTCAAAACTTTTATTGCATCGTCGTACATTCGGATGTGTTGCGTATTTATTTGGAGTCCGATTTTATTATAATCATGTGCTGCAACCTGTTCTCAATTTGTAAATGAGTACTATCAGTGATATATTATATAGATGAGGGTATAAATTAATTTTAAATGGATCTTAGAAGTAAGTACTAAAGAGACAAAATTATATGTCTTGCCACAAAAAAGGTTAACCAGAGTTTAACTCGTATTAAATGTGTATTTAGATAGTATAGTCTCGTATAATTTTGACGTAATTTATTAACTTTATCTATTTATGTGATTAGAAGATGCATCTAACACTGAATAATAATAATGTTGTATTACTGATCAAAAATCAACGTTTGTCTTCTTATTTCTAGCCTTGGCGTGTTATAAAGATCCAATTAGGAATTATAATGTTTTTGATTACAAAACATAACCACTTCATTAAAAGTGATATCCATATTTAACATAACTTACAACACGCTTTTTTCCCCGAAGGAGTAAGCAGTAAATGCATATTACGGCACTTAATGCCACTGTACAATGTAATATCCACAGTTTTTTACTATTTATGTTATGAGTCCCATGTAATAGGGGGTGAGTTTATTGCTATATACCGGGCCCACTTCCAGACTCTTGAAAAAACCCAGTAATACTTTGCCCAACCCGGGAATGGAACCCGAGACTCTTTGCCAGGCGATCGCACTTGCGACCACTCGGCCAACGAGGCAGTAAAATGATATCCATATTCTTTGTTTTTATTGGCTTACTTAGAATTGGTAACTTCATATCAATAATCTACCAATTAAATATTTGATACAATTAGAGCTGGTTTCAAAGCTAGGGGATATGGGCAGCGCGGCTGAAGCGCGGGCTTCAACAATAGAGGCATCAGGCAACAATCCAATAGAGGAGTTAATCGAGTGGCCACAACTAGAAGTATTAAATTAGGAATCTTGCCTTAAATGAAATTGAAATTCAATACAATATTTGCGCACAAAGATCAGATTAGGTGCGGTCTTCAGTTACTTAAGGTTTAGATTAAAATAAAAGTGTATCTCATAGATCATAATTTCTAGCGATAAAGTCCTCTACTGGGACCTCTACCTCTATGACAGTTGCGTCGCAATAAAACGATGCTAGAGCTCTCATCATCTCCAAGCGCGAGGCATTTCAGCAGCGCTGCCCAGTCCTCTAGCTCTGAAACCAGCCTAAATGAAAGAAGTTTTGAACATATATACTTAATAAAACCATTCTAGTAATAAGATATATTCTTACTATCTTTACTAATTACGGACGTCCAATAGCTATACGTGGACGTTCAATAGCTATATACGGACGCCCAATAGCTATATACGGACGCCCAATAGCTATATACGGACGCCAAATAGCTATATACGAACGTTCAACAGAAATATACTGACGATCAATAGCTAGGTGATCTAACATGATACCTTTTTTTTTGAGGGATAAAAAATCATCCAATGCCTTTTGCCGCCGGCCGCCGCGGCCGCGCTGGTGAGGCGAGTGGAAGTTTCAGAGGAAGTTTCTCTTACTGACTTTTTTTTAAGCGGGGAAAATCATCGATTGACTGCTCCCGCCTGGGTAAGGCGGGAGGGAGTGTCACTCTTACTGACTAAAAACCACCCCGTTCCTTCTCCTGCACGTCCAGCCGGAGCCCCGGTTACCCGTTAGGTTCTTCGCGACTCCGACTCGGCATCGGCCCTGTTGGGCCCCATCTGTGGTGGTTTTATGGCTCTTTGAGGCCCGCGCGGAACGCGACGCGCCGCACGTTCAGGTCTGTTTCTGGTCGGACGGGGAGCCACCCATGCTCGCCGTCCGCAGGCCCGCGCTTACGGTGGCCGGAGATCGTCCCGCGATCCCCGACGCCCGGTGTGTCCTTCGCGATGGCTGGGTTGCGAGGAGGCAGCGCTTCGTTGCCTCATGCGTCCCGCCTCCTCCTTAGCTAGCTTAAATGCTTCACAAAAGGAGGAGACGGCATCCCAGTCCCCCTCGCTCCGCATCATGGCCTGCACTAGGCCCGGACGCGAGAGGTCGCCATCGCCGATCACTTCCCTGAGGGTACGGCGGTGCTCAGCCCACGCAATGCATTCCGCTATAGTGTGTTCCACCGTGTCCTCAGGGCGGTCCTCACAGTGATGACACCCGGACGTTTCCTCCCGCCCCATCAGACACAGGTAACTTCCGACTCTTACTGACTTAAAACCACCCCGTTCCTATTCCTGCACTTCGAGTCGGAGCCCCGGTCACCCTTTAAGTCCTCTGAGGCTCCGTATGGGCATCAGCTCAATCCGTGGTGGTCTGATGGCTCCTTGGGGCGTATGCGGAACGCGACGCGCCGTACGTTCGGGTCTGGTTCTGATCGGGCGGCAAGTCATCCGTGCTCGCCGACCGCAGGCCCGTGCTTACGGTGGACGGAGACCGTTTCGCGATCCCCGACGCCTGGAGTGTCTCTCGTGACGGCTGGAGCGTGAGGAGGCTCGTTCCCTCACGAGCTCCGCCTCCTCCTTAGCTAGCAGGACTGCTTCGCAGAAGGAGGAGATGGCATCCCTGTCTCCCTCACTCTGTACCATGGTCTGAACCAGTGTCGGACGCGAGAGGTCGCCGTCGCCGATCACATTCCTGAGGACACGACGGTGTTCAGCCCACGCAGGGCACACTGCCACCGTATGCTACACCGTGTCTCCCGGGTGGCCCTCGCCATGATGACACCCGAGCGTTTCCTCCCGCCCAATCCGAAACAGGAACCTACCGAAAATATCGTGTCCGGTAAGCACCTGCGTCAGGCGGTAGGTAAGGACGTCGTAGCGTCTCTGTCTCTCAATCCACTCCTCAAATCTAACACGACACCTGCTGAGGAAGTACGTGGATGTTCAATAGCTATATACGGACGCCCAATAGCTATATATGGACGTTCAATAGCTATATACGGACGCCCAATAGCTATATACGGACGTTCGATAGCTAAGTGATCTTACATTATACCTGCTGAGGAAGAAACTTTCTTCGCGCGCATGGCCATCGTCAGGCTCCGCAAGAGACCCCTGCCATTACCATGTCAATTGTCAGGATCCGCAATCAACGGACCTCCCATTTCCGTGTGTGAGCAGTATAGTGATGTAGCTTTTTACTTGATGACCATAGCGTTTGGGTCAACTGAAATTTGCATGACCATTTTTGAATTCCTAACGTAGCCCAGTAGATGGTGCTAGTCCAGCAGTGGACTTAAATAGGCTGATGATGATTAATAACTATATACGGACGCCAATAGCTATTGGGCTCTATAACTGTGAAAGATCATCTAGCTACATTTAAAAAGTATGTTATTCCTACTGCGGCATCTTCTCATGTAAAAATCTCATAGAAACCTCAATTTTTTTGCATCTTGTTACCAATATTATACCAATACCTGGCATTAGTATAGATTTTACGAATATTGTAATACTGTTAAAACTCTGTCCCAGACGAGTGACAAGAGAGAGGAAAAGAAAGAGACAAGTGAACCCAAAGCTGGCAACGTTGCACTCGCAAATACCATCCACGCTGTGAGGACGTTAATTAGCCGAAGCCATGGTTAAATCACGATCAATATATCTAGGAGCCCAATTAGTTATCACGATGGTTTGGGGTTCAAAAATGTTGCAGCATCACTGCAAGAAGAATATCGTGAAAAATAAAATTATCGGAAAATGACGTATCCTACAAAGCTGGAAATCGAATAACTAAGCAATATTCATTAAGACATATAAAAAAAATTAAGGGGAACTGGGGGACGTCGTAATGATGCGCGACATGTGTGACGCCAAAACGATTCTAGGATGTAAATATATATATATATTTTTATATACCTATATATAGTTAAATAAGGCATCCCCTTCCTGTTCTACCTTCCACATCTTCAGTACCTTGCAAATAGCATACATACTGTCTAACTAAATAGTTCACAATAATCTTTGTCTAGTTTATGGGTTTTCAAAGCAATTTATGTTTCCCATAAACTTATTATACTCTTTGTTTAATTTATGACAGGTAGCAAAAGAAAGTTGTCCAACAAACTTTTATTATTATTATGCAGATTGTCAAAAGAATAAGTATATTTTTTCTAACAGTGCATCACTTTGTTATTCATTAATGTACATTTAATTCTGTCAACAAGTCAAAGATAAATTAAAATTGATCAAAATGATGAAATCTGAGATTCTCAAACCTGACACTTTTTTGTATTTTGCATATGGTGACAATATGGTAAAATTTCGAATGAAAATGTTCAATCCATCAGCTGAATTTGTTTCTATTGCTCGAGTAGATGTAAGTGCTTACATAAACCTTTGACAATGACCATATTCAGTGGTTTCTCGTTATATACGTATCTACTCAACTTACCTGCTTTGTCTACAGAATTACAGACTAGATTTTAATAAATATGTCAAGTTTTGGGGTGGTCCTGTCGCAACTCTTGTCCCCACGGCAAACGCTCATGTATGGGGCGTCATTTGGAGACTTCATAGAGATGACCTCGAATCTCTTGATCAGTAGGCACCTAAGTATACTTATAATATTTTTTGTGTTAATAAAATCAATCTAAGACCGCACAATAACAATAAAACCCGCTCTACTTAGTGTTATGAAATCAAAGTTGGATTAGGCACCAAGTTTTTGTATATTAAAACTTAAGCTTGGTTTAATTGTTTCAGTCAAAATGGTATTGAGGCAGCTACATATTTCGTAAGGTACATAGAGGTCCTTACTCCATATATGGGTACATTCAAGTGTCGTACATACCTGCAAACAATTTATCCTTTGCCTAGAGGTAACAGAGATCCCATTCCTACTGAGCGATGGCCATCATGGGCATATAAAGAATTCCTAATAATTGGCGCTAGGCAACATGGTCTGCCACAGTATTATATAAGATTCTTGAGAAAGTTTAAAGACAATGGTGACGAAGGCTGCATTAGATCTGACTGCTTATTAGTGCGCTATGGAACTAATCAGCCATGCCTATGTAGAGTACCTGGCCGCATACCACGAAAACCTCTTAAGCTGGATTTAAAGGCAGTTAGAGGTACGAAGCTACCTACCCATCCAATAAGATCAGTTGATGTAGTAGAAACAGAGCAAAAAAGGTCGAAGAAAAAATTGTCATTTTAAAGAATGTCAAAGTTTATGTCTGCAGTTTTTTAGAAGATTTTATGGAAGTATAAAACAATTACGCATTTTTCTGTGTTGAAATACATCTATAACAAAGTACTTTACATACCCAGTAACTTATCTCAGAGCTGAACATCTGCATGTAAGTCTGAAAATAGTCAATATGATTTATTGCAACTCGAGCTAACTACCTACATAAAGTTAAAAGTACCTAGATGATATTGAAGATCGTAAAATAACTTACTTTATCCATGTTATCCAACTGTATGTAGGTAGGATTCTGTTTTAATTGATAGGTGATAAAATTTTTCAACGCACTTGAAAGCTACTAGTGTAATCGTTTAGGAAGGGGTATCGAAATATTGAATGAGATATCTTTAGTTCATAAACAGTATACTATGTCTATGTAAGTGGGTCAGTAATTTCTATTTACAACTTTAACAAATAAGTTTACCAAGAAAAATATCAACACGAAGGCAAAATAATAGAGGGGACAAACTGAAAACCGTTTTTTACTATTTTTTATAACTTTTTTATTAATATAAATATTAAAATTATTAATAGGTACTCGGTTTTATTAAATTAATTATATAAAATTGTACACTATCTCAATCGTTTGGTGAAATTGTATCTAAATTGAGCATATAGCACAACGCTACCCCGACACTTATACAAAACATACACAATTCACACAAGGAAATAAATCATTTGGAAATTACTTTATCAGTCAATAATTTATGCATAATATAATCACTAAAAATGAGGTAATGTAACTGCCTTGTAGTGATAATCACAATGAAACAAATACTGATAAAAACAAGAGCGTAAGTAACAAAGGTCGACAGTAGGCATAGGCCGCAGGGAACGCTGTGTGAGGCAACGTTGTGCGAGACCTCGCCGCGGCCGCGGTCACTCGGCAACGTATTGACGTTTCAAACTTTCAACGTACTCCTCGCCAATACGCCCGTGCAGTGCTACTGGTTTGGTGGGGCTTTCTTTATTTCACTGCACTGGAATATTCGCGATAGCAATGGAACTAAGTTATAGTTCTAATATATTTAGGTTACACTTAACGATACCTACCTACGACATTCCTCATAATTGAGCAAAAGGCACTATGCAAATTTTACACATAAAACAATATTTGGGTTTTAACGAAGATTGTTTCAATTCTACTAAAATGGTTGAATCAGTGTTGCAACGTGCCTTGTGCCCCCGACAACAACACAAAAGTGTACGATCACGTACTAGTCCCAGTCTGCCCTGGTCACATTCCCTTCCCTTCTCAACCGACGTATTACTTACATTACTTTTTACCTGATTTATTACTAATTCACAAATAAAGGTGGTCAACGACTTAAATAAAATACTATCGGTAAGCCATTCGTAACACATCGCCCATATACATAGCCAACCGCGCTGAATTGATTTCCGTGGCACAGTTTCTTGATTGTGTTAAAATGAAAACAATTGTATACTCGACATTCTAGCGTTACTTGTCAAACGAACACGTGTATATAAAAGAAATAGAGAGTAATGAATGCATGCGGTATGTGTCCACCTCACACAATCAACAAACCTGCATGCAATAAAGGCTGGATGTCTGAAGGCACTCGTTTAAACCCTTAAACCACATTATCGTAACAGTTGTTATTTACTAGAGCGGACCTCGGACCCCAGCCGCGCTCACTGCTGGGGTCTGACGTCCTCCACTGTTGTACATTATTGGAGTTTACCTTTGGTTGATTGTATATTAATATAATTATATTTTATTACAGTTAATTACAATTATGTAGCTAACATTTTCCTAGTTACATTTAACTAGAAATTTGCTATCAATGTAGTTGTAAGTTATAAAATACAAAATTAAATGTAAATCAAATGTAATTGTAAATTCATATTCAAACCATCATAAATTCACCCCACGACCTTATCTATTTCTAGGCATGTCATTAATTAAATTAACAAAGTCAATAATATCTACAAACTTGCTGCCAAAAATCACTGCACAATAAATGTGAACAAAAATAATAAAAAGGAACTACATAGTTATATTATACCTAGCTATTACGTTGTGTTACTACACAAATATTGCAGTGGACTAAAGTACAAAACTGTAACTATACAAATGGAACAATATGAACACAATAAAAGTTGGACTTTAAGCATGTTCTCATTGAAACGTTTCTATACTTAGCAACCTTACAGACATAAATATATTCGCATTTTATAAATATGCTATTTCAGTAACTTATTTAGTTATTATCTACAATAAGATACTACAGTACGTTGTAATAATATTATGGAGATGGTTCACTGATTGGCTCTGCATGTAATAAAGGCTAGCACACATGACACGTACAACGGTACAAGATATAAAAAGTATAAATGTACTTATGTACTCGGATCAAATTCAGAAGGAGCATCAGTGTTTTTTTATTTTTCAGCTCCGTATCCTGCTTCATGCCATATGACCTACGCAACGCTTGTGTTTATTATGCCATAGTTCACCTATTTATGCCCTACAGTAGATCATCACTTGTTCAAAAGAATTAGGTACTAAGAGATGCGCACAGAATTTCAGCTATTTACTAAAACCCGTCAAATAAATAACAAAAATATAATATGATTAATAAATTACGTATTTTTTTTATTTTTTATGAAATTCATCAATGACAATTAAGGAAGAGATAAACTAGTAGTGTTCTAACAAGAAAACAAATATAGTGTCTACTAGCTATCAAGATGAATTCAAGATTAGAATTATTTTAATCAATTCTAGTTTTTACTCAAATAACGTGACACTCCAAATATATTAATGGTGTATATAATTATGGTAGAAATACATCATTATAATGCAAAAACTTGTGACAAAATGAATTGAGAAAAAATGAGTAGTTCAGAAGTTGATCGACGATATGAGTTTTGAATACATAATTGTATTGTTTTAACTGTAGTCCTAAAATCTGGTTTTGTACTAATAGGGACGTACCCTATAGTTACTTACTAGTAAGTCAACTATCAAATCAGATAACTTATAATCGTCTCGATCTTAGATCAGAATGTTTAAGTTTTGAAATAGTATCAAACTCCAGCTCCCATTGTGTACAAGCGATGAACCACTGTAAATATAGGCACACTGTCAGTTGCACTCATACTTTGGTTACATAACATTTACTCGTATTTAAACAATAATAGTATGCAGTCTAGTAATATAAATATTTAACAATAGTGGCAGGTATTGTCTATTGCATTTAAGTCGATGGGGAACACATTGTTATCGGCGTAACTTGTAACTGAGAATAACTGTAACATGATTACGACCTACATTTATATTCACGTACACAATAACATGTTGTTAAACAAATGTTGCGGTATATAAAGTCATTTAAATTCAACGTTGTCACTTAACTGGCACTAGTAAGTACTCGCTGTGCAGAGCGCACGAGCCGTGAGCCCTCGTGCAGTCTGCATGTTACAATATATATCGATACGCATGGCCGGCAACACTAAGTAACACGTTTTTCGTCTTTTCTCGTTAACTTACGCATTATGACTAAACTGTGGGTGTTGCTTCACGTTCCTACTAAAACCAGTTACAACTAATTTGAAACGACCCTGTATAATTACTCTAATACAATTATATAATTATCTTTGCAAACATTGATAACACAGCTACAATAAGTAACAGCATAAAAGACTTGTAAATTTAGACGTTTACTTTCCAAATCTTTGGTGGTTAATTTTATTTTAATTCAATATTTCAAATTTTACTTTATACAAGTAGAAAAATAGCTGATATCTAAAGCGGCAAATCCAACAGTTGAGTATTATAAGCAGATGCAACTTGTATTGATTAGGACAAGTGACAAATTCATTTCGCAAGTACGTTTGTAATAAAAGTACTTGGCACAACAACATAACAACTTCAACGAATTTGACACCTGTTACTTGTTCACTTTGAAACAGTAGCAAGGTACCGAACTATACGTCAAGAAATTAATAATAATAAAAATAATTTGTACACGATCTCGCCTACATAAAACTATACACGCTTTACATCTTAAACGGTAAACTTAACATTAATAGGCTATGTCAAAAGTGACATCGATCTATAACTATATAATAACGTCGAGGTAAACTATATAGGATTCACGTCGAGACATATCGACTCACTTAATATCGTCTCAGCAAAAATATTACTTTCCTGATATGAAAACGAATCGTCACACGAAAACAAACGCATCGCCCACTCGCGTCGAGCTCTTGAAAAACAACAAAACTCGAGCGTCCGTCCGTCGGGCGCACGATAACGTAATAAATGCGGGCGAGCCCCGCCACGTAGCATAGTCCGGCGGGGCTCGCGGGGCTCACAGTGCTAGCGCGGCTAGCGACACTAGCGGGGCTAGCGCGGCCAGCGGGGCTAGCAGGGCGGTAGAGGCCCGCCGTTCCCCTTGGGGTCCGCGCGCAGCGGCTGCAGCGGCTCGGCGGCCGCGTCCTCGGAGGCGCGCGAACGCAGCGACGACAGCTCGCGCACCCAGGACGCGAGCCGCCCCGACACGCCGAACAGGTTGGAGCCGGAGCCGGTGGCCACGGCGCCCACGTTCACCTCGGCCAGCTCCGCCTCGTCCTCTGTGGACACCGAGCGTCACATACCAGCGACACGGGGACTCGCGACCCAGTGCGGGATACGATAAGTCAGTGAAACTAAGTCAAATCATCCAATCCAATCCAAATAATCAAATCCAGTGCCTACTAACATGTTTTGTCTTTTATACTAAAGTGTGTCCCAAACCTCACACCAACATTGTAAGTACGACAAATATCGCGACTTTATTGTTTCGTAATTTGGCACACAGACATGAACAACAAGCTCCTCTACCTGGTGTAAAGTTTTGGACACTTCCATCTAAATACCTTTTTTTCTAAGTATTCTAGACTACTTAAGCCAGACACAAAAAGCTGTGGGGTACAGGTTTTTAACTCCTTGCTAAACCTTTTCGAAACTTGCGGGGTGTCCCCGTGGCATATCTATTTAATTATAAGTAGCTTTGATATAGAAATCAGGACGGCAAATTATTTATACTGGACTACAATGGTTCATGGTCAGTCAGGAAATGATAACAAAAGTGCCCGCACACATGTAACGTTACGTCAAACATGCAAGCAAGTTCCGCTACTTACGTCTCAACAGCGTGCCGGCGACTCAGCATACGGCTCTACGGATGCGACGAGGGAAAGAAAGCGGGCTCGTATTATACACAAATTCGCACTAGCAACAAATGTTATCATTTGCTGATGTAGACCAGGACGGAGGGAGGCATCCAGAAGACGATTTGAAAATCTTTTCAAGATCGCTACGCTACAGAATTATTGAAGTCGATGCGATCATTAGGCACTTTTTCGATTACTAATCTGCATATTCATCCTGGCAAAATCGAGCATCGTCGATACGTTTAAGAGAAAAGCATAATAACGCTCCGGTACTGACCCATGGTGGTACGCTGCAGCGAGTACATCTCCTGTCCCTGCGGCGTGTGGAAGAAGCTCCGCTGGCGGAAGTGGGCGTGCGCGGACGGCGCCAGGTCCGCCACCAGCTGCAGGAACGACGGCCGCGTCGGCGCGCGGTGCGCCCAGCACGCGCGCATCAGCTCGTACAGGCGGTCCGGGCAGTGCTCCGGCCGCTCCATCACGCCGCCCTCCACCACGTACCGCACCACCTGCTCGTTGGACAGCCCCTGCACACACACCATGACGTCACCACACGCAATGACGTCACCACACACGTGGCCTCGCTGCGCGGCGTCCACTCACCTGGTAGGGCTGCATGGCGAGCGTCGCCATCTCCCACAACACGACGCCATAACTCCACACGTCGCTACTACTCGAGAACACCTGTAAGACACCAAGTTATTATGAACTCGACCGAATTCCGTTTATTAAATGTGAAAGAATAATATGCCTATCGACTTACTCCATCTTTGAGGCTCTCTGGACTCATCCAGCGCACCGGCAATAGGCCTTTGGTGCCTTTCCTATAGTAATCAGTCTCGTAGATGTCTCTGGTCATACCAAAGTCCCCGACCTTCACGGTGAGGTCTCCGGCGACCATACAGTTGCGCGCCGCGAGATCGCGGTGCACGAATTTTTTGGCCGATAGGTAGGCCATACCGTCGGCTATTTCTATAGCCATCTGAAAATTAAGAAACAATAATTACAATACGTTATTACGACATTGTCGTGGATGTAATATTGAGCATATTCACGACGTAACACACCTGCAGTATATTCTCCAATGTAGGAGGATCACTGCCGCCCTTGCGCGGGAGCGAGGCGTCTGCATCAGGTCTGTGTGAGCGCAGGTACGTCTTGAGGTCCCCGAACTCCATGAGCTCCATGATGACGAGCGTGGGCTGCCCGCGAGATACCACGCCCAGCAGTCGCACTACGTGGAACGTGTCGAATGCCTTCATCACCGAAGCCTCGTTCAAGAATTCTTGACGTTCCCTGTCAGTGGCGTGCTCGTTGACAGTTTTAACAGCACAACGTGTCTCCGTTTTTCCTTTTTCTATACCTTTGGCAAGGCCCTCGTATACCTGAAGGAAAGATCAATATTTAAATCAAAGCATTCCTTACATTGGTTCTTTTTCGTTTTGTGTGATCGAGTCATAAATGAAAGTAATAAACATAGCAATTACCATTCCAAAGGAGCCCTGGCCCAGCTCCCGGATGAACTCGACGGAGGCGCGCGGCACCTCCCACTCGTCGGGCACGTACATGGTGGAGACATACTCCGGGTTGACGCTGGCGAAGAGTTTGTTGGCCTCGGCGGAGGGCAGCAGGGCGCGGCGCGCGTACCACAGGCCGGCGCCCAGCAGCGCGCCCATCATCACGCAGCCCCCCACCACGCCCCACACCCACTCGTACGCGCTCTCCGCCGTCCTCTCCTGCACGCACAGTACCACACTCTTACACTCATCTATTCGGAATCGTTTAAAAAGGAAAAAATATTGATCGCGGAGTACATATTAGTATCTTTGTAGTTTAGGTAACCTTTGTAGGAAACCTATTTATGAGGATACTTTGGAAATGAGTAAAAAAATAAAAAGTAGAAGCCTAATCGCCGTATTCGAAACCGACATGGAGAGATCATAGAGCAACACGGGCCACCGGCGGACCGGAGGGGAGTATACATACACAGGCGTTCCCCTCTGTCAAAGTATAAGTCCAAATGATCCTATGCGTACAATAAAACTAGTTGCAACTCAACTGCTCACCAGACTAAATCTAGTTGCGTTAGTGAATCGACGGCGTCGTAAAAACGCCGAATTGTTCTGTTTTTTGCTGTAAAAAGAGATCTGCCACGTCAAATTTACAAAAACATGGTGTTACCTTTCATATTAAGTAATTTTTAATCACATTATTGCTATTTACTTCTTATAAACTTAAAAAACTAAAATATTATCAATCGTCTTGTTTCGGATTTGTGTACCAACAAATCCGTGCGTACTCATACAAAACGCGGATCGGTCGAGCGACAGATCCGAGTTTTTTTCCTAGAATTCGCTGTCGCCGAGTGATAGCGTTGTTGCCGGTTTGTTTGTAGATAGTTATCGATAAAAATGTAAAAGGTGAAGTCAAATGTGAGATTTTTTGGGATTAAGTTTGCTGATTTAAATAAAAAATACTGAGTGAGAACTGTAACTATATTTATTATTATTATTATTTTATTTATTTATTGCAGATTTCCTAAAGATCCAAATTTAAGAGATATATGTTAAACATTTTGTCATAACAGACCAACCAGTTCCCACAAGAAATATTGCCATTTGCTCAAATCAAGATGAATTAGCAAGATTAATAATGCAAAAATATACTGATACAATAATTTCTAACTTATTGAAAAAAACAAACCCCCAAAAATGTATTCTTCATATTTGTAGATAATTAATCTATTTTAAAAACCAGTGATAGTTCCGTATCAGTATTTCATCACTGGTTTTTAAATAGGATTAGTAATTTAATTTATTTAAAAAATGATAATTTTATTTGTTATAATTATCTTGTCTGATTATTGTAGTAGTAGGTAGTTAGGGGTACCTATAATAATTAATTAGGTATAAAAAAGGGTATAATAATTAAAGTCAATAATAATATCTGTCTTTGAATAAATTTTTAAAGCTAATTTCCTGAACGGAGTTCTTGAATTTATCGATAATGCGTATCGATAATTGTTACAACTGAGGGTGTAAGGACTTGTAAATGTAGTTGCGTCATATTATTACACTATTACGACAGGGATTGTTTAAATGTGTGTGTGAAATTGTCAGTGTATTTTTCAATTGTCATAGTGTGAGTTTCGTAGTGACATAGAATGTTTTTGTATGAGAATTTGAGAATGTGTGATTTCCCCCCGCAAAAAATGACAGACAGTTTTGTATCCGTTTATAACGCAATGGCTACTCCCCTCCGTGTTGCTCTATGTGGAGAGATATATATACCTCACAAAAACATTGAGAAGGAATATTACCGGTATGAAGATGGGTGGATGCACAGCGGAGATGTTTCCTGCGCCGGCGACAGTGATGGGCGTGACCTCGATGGTATAGTTCCCTGGCGCCAGGCTGCGCAGGGTGTAGCTGTGGCCATTCTTCTCGTACTCGTCCGCTGTCACACAACCCTGCAAACCAGACGGCGCCTGGCCGTGGACAACAAAATTACATCTTAGTAGGTAGATATTGCGATTACCATTAATCTTAAAGTAAATCCTACTCTATTTTCCCTCACCTACACTAGGTAAAGTAGGTATCCTCTAAAATTTTGAAAGACAATTTGGTTGACTATCATGTCTATGTAATAAGCACTACTTACCAATGGTATGCTCTCGTCGACACGGGCGTAGTACACGGAGTACGCTACGACAAATCCGTTCGGATTTTTCGGCGGTTTCCAAGTGACGTTCACTTCACCCAACGTTTTGTTCGATATAATCACTTCTGCTTGCAAATTGTCCACTATATCCGCGTTCACTGCAAACATTAATTACATTGTGTTGTAGCTTGGTCTACAGAGCGAGAAGTCCAGTTATTTTAGTCTATAATTGTCAAAACAAATTATTAGTTAGTGTTTTCAAAACTCCTCGTCAGCAATAGCTCGGAGGTATGAAGCCCAGTGCAGGCGGGTTACCTCGTTCCGGAGTGCGGAAGGTGTTGTAGGACCGGTTGGAGCACCACTTGTCGTTGTAGTCGGCGACGGACTCGTTCTCGTGGCGCGAGCGACACGCCCAGATGCTGACGGTGTACCACGTGAAGTGGCGCATGTTGGTCACCTTCAACGTCTGCACCTTGCCGCCCAGCTCGAAGTACAACGACTTCACATAGCCTACGAACAAACCTTTACGTTCAATATACTGCTTTACAAGCGCTGGTGCTTACGTGCAGACTTCTTCTCTCTACGTTTTCACATTCCAAAGTTAACAATTTTTCCTATGAATTGCTCGTTCGATACATTGGAAGTGTTTAAATGATAATATTTGATAGTAATTCGCAGATTATACTTGCGATGAACAATTGTGTCACTGTTCAGTTAATGAATAATTCAAGCTCGGTGGTATTGCGGTTTCCTTGATGTATATAGATAAAATATAAACTATACGGATGTTTTGTTCAATCGTAACAAGTAACAATAACCTAGAAGGTCATAACATATTCTAACTTTCATATTTTTATTCTTTTTTCTATAGTCAAGCTAAAATTATTTTGTTGAATTTATTCATATACTTGTACTATGTAGGACTTAGGATCAAGTTGTTATTATTTTATACTTTCTTGTAAATTAATTAACGACAACTAAATTACTGCATGCAATACAAAATCGAGTCGGTCTGGTGCCACAATAACTACGAAACATCATGCAATGAAAGAGTATCCAGATTAAATCCTTATACTCCGTTGACGATGACCTTAGAAATGAAGATCAGAGAATGTATGACAATGAGGTGATGTCGGCAACATGCAGCAACCAAATACCCGTGTAATGTAAAACAAATATGTCTATGTTTGTAACCTGTGGAGTCCTTTACGACGCAAGCATTAGGCTCGATGCGACTGCAGTTGGCTGAAATGAGAATGTTAGATGGTCGTGATGAGGTTGTGAGCGGTGACAAGCGAGGCCATGAAGGACGATCAGAGAAAGCAAGTCTTACGGCGTAAATGAAATGTTAACAGGACAGTGAATAGATGATACATTGTTAATCCAATTCCTAAGGGGTTCGCGACTTACCTTCCTCGTCCGTGCTGTTCGTGTAGTTCAGTCCAACCTGGGGTTCAAAGTTTTTTGTCAGTTTCACAAGCATACTGTTCAGGGTGTGGTCGACGGATCGCTTCACTCTCTTCGCTTTCGGTCTATTATCATTCTTTACGTAGACCTGCATGATATAAATTACAATGTGTTAATTCGATTTTTAGTCAGGACATTGATATAAGATAAAATTGACTTGTAAATAGGTACTGTACAGTATTCTGCAGCTGATTCTCAAAGGCGATAGTCTCCCTGCGGTCTTCCTCTATGCGGGAATTGAACCGGGTGCCTGGTTTGTCCTCTTCCTTGCAAGCACACGAGCCATTCGTAACGTCACCGGTAGTCTTTTTCTCCTGTGTTTCCGCAGGTTCCTCGGATTGCGCTGTGATCATGTTGGTGAGGAGACTCGCTAAAACAAGAACATCATTTGTTAATTCACTCAGGAATGAGACAAATAATCATTTGAAATAGATGAAAATGATCCAATTAAGGTAATGTTTAACATGAAAACTTACGATTGGAACAATAATTCGTGTTTCCAGCCAATATCTTGGGTTTGTTGTAGCTGTTGGCTTGTACCTCGACGTGGTAGAGTATGATGGTCCCGTTGGGCATCGTGGGCGGCGACCAACTGATGAACACTGAGTGGGGAGACACCATCTCTACCGACAGCGCCACCGGGGGACTCGGCCCTACGAACCACACACTCCATATAACATCCAGGTATAAACTAATAAGTAAGTGATAAAAGTAAACGTTACAATTTAATTTGTATTTTCAATAAATATGAGTGAAACGTACTTTCAGGTAAAGTCACGAAATATATAATGGAACTCTGTGCGCCCTTCTTCTCCTGCGTGGTAGTGTATGTCTTGACGTACGCCGCGTACCGAGTGAAGGGAGTGAGGTGTGAGACTGGACAGAACAAGGGTTGTCTGTTTTGACAAGGGTTCAACAGAATCTCGTTTTGGTTTTGATTGCCAGCAGGAGCATCCCTCGTGTAGTTACGCGCTTCATCTGCCGTTATATCGAGAACGTTCCATCTGAAATACAAAGACAGATGAATTCAATCATAATAAACATTGATATTGGTGTAGGTAAGCATATTGCTGTCTGCCTCATTGGTACCAGGCACTGGTTCGATTCCCGAATTGAGTTTATTATTTCGGATCATTCTCAGGACCTAATAAGCTTAATGACCTCATTCTGCGTATGACACCCACTAACATAACTAATGATAAGTAGATGTTACTGTTAGTTACGGGTATGATACATACAAATATGCGCAACTCAGGTGACTTTCGGAGATTATAAAAAGTAACGTTATAATTATGATGTATAAAAATGTATACATTAGAATACTAACCGATCTGAGCAGACATCCCTCTGTTCATAGAGGGTGACGTTAAGATCCGTCGCGATGTAGTAGATGGAGTATCCTAACAACTTGCGCATATCTTCAGGACAGTACATGTTCCACGACAGTACCACTGCCTTGTCATATAACTGGCTCGCTTTCACATGCAGCTTGTCCGGCAAACCTGATGGCCAATTAAAGGACACATTTTTAAAAACAAATATATAAGATGTTAATAGAAGAAAAGATTTTGTATAACTTGGAATTTTGTAATGGTATTGTACTCTCGCCTTAAAATAGTGTTCGTAAAGAAATACATACAATACAAGTTCTCTGCATCTTGCACATCGTCAAGGTGCGCGTATGCCACGTACACGATACTCTAATGTTGACTGATTGATTGAAGAATGTAGTTGAACCTATTGTTTGATTGTTACACTCACAATAATATTTTAGATTCCCAACTAACAACACTATAGTCTTTCTATAATTGTTCAAATGTAAGTTTATTCTCAAATATCTTGTCCATTTAGAGCTAATTTTTAAAACAATCTTATAAATCTTAATTATTGTTAAATGAAGAATTAACATTTGTGTAATAACTTAACTATTTACTTAGTTACACACTATGTACTCACAGGAAGCCTGGTTTCCATTGTTGTCCTCCGATACCTCAATTTCAGTGAAATTAGAGCGCGGGTCCCTGGTCATGTTTTTTAGCGGCAGTATATTGATGTAGCACAGCTTTGGGTTGAGATGTATGAACAGACTGCCTCCCACGATGTCGATGGGGCCATGACTCGGCCAGTCCCACAGCAACTCAAGGTTCGGGTTGTTGAATATATGTATCACTTGACCACTGTAAAGTTATCAGTCATAAAGTAAATCAAATAGTAATAAATAATACCGTATTATAAAATGGCGACTCCGTATCTAATGCTCGTTAAATTAAATGATTTATACGTTTATAAGAGTGCTGTTGTTTATGTACCCTTTGAAAATATAGACATTATCTGTCAGGCGTACACCGCCATCATAAAAGTAACCTTCAATAAATATACAAAGAAATTATCAAAATATACAATAATATGATACGTATATTATTATGTAAACACGTACTCGAATCGCGGCCACTCCCGAACAGCCTATTACTTTACACCTATAAAATTTTCCTAACGCGATGACCTCGTATGTATTCATACTTTGTTTTTAATTGACTTGGAAATGAAACGGAAATGTTTAAGGGACCATGCGCATAATGATTGCCACTTATAATTGAGGTTCATCTCACCCTCCTATAGTTGAGGTTCTTGGTGTTAGCATAGTTTAATATTAACAAAATAAATGAGAATGGAAAGAGCACTGAGAATGACTTTGTAGTAAAATGGTTCTAATAATGTTAATAAGTACGAATATTACGTAAAATAGTCTCTTATATTTAAATCTTACCGATTTTTGGCACCTGGTTCCCACGATCCCGTGATTTTCCTCAGTTTCTTGAGAAACATCAACGACACTAGTGGAAACGCGCGCACCACTTGTAACATACCAGTTATTTCTCGTATGTCGCCCAATGAGTTTTCTAATACTGCCAAAGTATTACCTATAATACAAAATAGATGTGTTAATCACTGTATTAAAGGAATATACGACTGATATCTCTTTTTTATCATAGCTTGGGCTTGCACGGTGACAATCATCTGTGATGTAATGCAAACTTTCTGCAGTCAATAGTCACTCTGCTATTCACAGAAGTAACTATAATTTTCGTATTTTGATTATTATCAATGTTAATTTCTGATATCAAATATGCAAGAAAGCTTAAAGTTGGAACAGTCAGGTGGAAGATAAATAAAAGTAATGTGATTATATGAACCTCACCACCAGAGGCGCGGATATTGATCTCTAGTTTCCCCTTGATGTGCGTGCAGCCCTGGAACTGCTCCGCCGCCGCCACGGAGTCTATCTTGCCTCCCGCGCACTCCTTCACGCAGCCCGACGCCGGACATTGTTGGCATGTCAAGTTGTTAGCATCGCCCACCTAAAACACACAGAAATCCTTAATTTTCCAATCGTTGTGTGGTGACTGATGCACTAGACCAGTGGTTTGTCAAAAGTGAAAATGACTAATTCGTAGTTTTATAAAAAAATATAAAATCAAGTTCAACCCCAACTATTCTAACTATATATCGATTACTTTAACCCTGTCTTTACATAATCATTTTTCAGGAACGTATACGCACCTCCATGTACCCGCTGCGGCAGGTAAACACGCAGCTGTTGTTGAATATCTTGTACTTGCGAATGTGTGGCGAGGCGCCGCGGTGGTCCGCCTCGGCGTTGGTGGGCGGCTTCGTGGCGCGGCACGCTGACTCCGTCACGCAGCGGTGGAACAACTGGGTACAACGCAACATGCTTTACTTCGACGAAGACGGTCAAGTAATGGCAAGAGCCGCTACTGCTAGACTGCCATTCCCATGTCGTCAAAGAATTTTATGTAATGTTCACATTTTTTATTGTTCCCAAGATCTTTGTCTTTTGATATCACCTCTTCCTGTCCAAGCGGCAATATTTATATCCCGTTTATGTATAACAAGCGCTACAACCATCATCCATTCTCAACCCGTGCAAATCAGACATGCTAACATATAGAGGTTTGCGGTATAACATCCTCGTCATTCTACATATTCATACATACCTATCAACAACTTAAACATATGACTCGACCAATCATAATATACTACCTACTTAACTAATACAGGTAAAGTGATAAAGTCACCTCATAAAGATCAGAGGGGCATTTCTCTACGCATTTTCTTTCAGGACCATCCCCGATGGAGAAGTTTCGGCAGGCGTGGCAATCCCAGGAGGTGGGCCCGGTGCAACCGCCCAGGCAGGACGCATGGCAACATGTGCCATTATTTAGACACCCACTGTCACCGCATTTCTTTGGACAAACTGTATAACATATGAACATTAGCTAATGTTGCAAATCGGAAACAATATAATCATAGTAGGTCTGCACTTAGTTAATACTTCACCTACGTTTTTAGAGCAGTGTACGAGAATATAAACTTGATTTTGGTCAAGTTTACTTACATTCATGTATAGTACAGGGTATTCATATGAGAACTAGCCGTAGCGTATTGAAAAACATCGGTGAGCATAACAACGGCTGATAATCCAAGCGACTATTACAATCAGACGTATGTGTCATATCATTGCATCATCTACGTTACTATAATGACCCATGCTCCCCACGTCTTCAAAGTCCATTGCTCCCTTTGTTTACAATACGTCCATCACTTACTTAATAATACTTGTAATCTATTTAGTTTATATCGAAAGTGCGCTAGCGCTTATAATAATAACGTATTGCACATTCTGCAGTCAGTATGAACGTGTTATGATTTCAGTGTGATACTCACCCTTCTGGCAGTGTTTATCATCCCAACATAACAGCCGACCAGATCCATCGGTCGGGCACTGCGCATGCGACTGTCGATGGTCCCCGTCCACTCGACTCTGTGCATATGGGCACAGCCCACACAGTCGCGTGTCGTAGTTTAACTACAAATGAACAATACATTAGATCAATATTAATGTTAATTGGGAGATGACGAGGTCATCCACATTATTTTAAGAGTTACTCATTTCAACACTATGTGCACGATCCATTAAATATCACAACACTAGAAATGATATCATCTTCTCGAAACATTCCAAGTGGATCTTCAAATTCTTAACGTTGTTCAGAGATTCCATGGAATCTACAACATTTATGTAGATGATGCCTTCTTTATATGTTCTATGTGATATACGATACGATTAATAAAACTGAACGTTTAGAACATATTATTTAGTGGTATATGTATGTATCGGTTCGATATAAACCGACCCTTAATTACATGTGTTTATAGGTCAACAAGAATCTTGGCGGAACTAATAACACGTAAATCCCACGGTCCTCGACAAGAACAAGTTTGATAAAGAATAAAATAACAAGAGGGCACTTACTCCTGTTATTGAACATGTTTGGGCTGTGCCATCTATTGAATAGTCGAATATAGTGCATGACTGGACATCGCCTATTATCGATTCTCGCGTATTATGTAAAGACTTTTGGTAAAACTTAAAAGGAAGGAACACGAGAATATTCAACATTTGTTTAACAAATAAAATGTTATGGCGTTGTTATGAGGAGATTATGAATAAATACACATATAATTTAACTCACCCTAATAATGTTGACAGCATGTTCCGATGTGATCAAGGACCAGTCGATAGTGTTAGCATAACAAAGCCTGTCGTTCTGTTGTATCCGCACTCCGCCTCTCTCAATCTTCACCAAGGACCGAAGCCCCACAGACTGTGGATAGAATTACAAACGTTTATAACTAAACTAGTCTGTACCTGCGTCTCTCGGTATTAGATGCTTGTCTACAAAGTTTACATAAGAACGTTTTTATGAAATTCTAAATTAATCAAACTCTGCTGCAGCTTGGCAGTATGCGTAAAGTAATCATTCCCAATAATACCTAAACCTCCTCAACGTTTATTCTACAAGTCACAGTTTAATGATTTTTTATTGTGGCTTAACTCGTCGAGTACCGGTTTTATAGACACAATTAAAGAACAATAGGTCGCGGTCACCGGTGACCGCTTGGTGTTTGACAGTTTAAATTGCTTATTTCACTGTGTATAGACGTACACAGTGCAGGGGAGGTGGACCTCCTCATCACTAAGAGGTAGGACGAAATTCGATGTTAAATCAATCCAATGTTAATAATCTGAATATCACTGTATTTCTTAAATAAATTAACGTTTTGATGAACATTGTTTCAGTGCCATCATTCTAACCACGGTAGCTTAAAACAGTGGGACTACCCGAGACTGAGGGTCTAGTTTCCAGTAAGAGTTTACCAGTGCCCATGTATATGAGGACCGCAGTTGCACGCCTAGAATTATTTACAAAAGATTACCGAAAAACCATTATGATATAAACTATATGTATGTATATCGTCATGCCTATTTCCTAATCAGTACTTGTACAGCGGACAATGCGGACATCCGTAGGAAGCGGTAACCGCATGTAACATCAGATCGAAATGCATTCTTATCTACACAAACTAACATAATATGTGGACTTGGAACTTACTTCCAGATGCTCATTATCGAATATAACGAGAGCGAAATCCTTGAAGAGTTGCATTCCACGTATTACCGTGAGGTTGGGAAAAAGGTCACCCAGATTTTGCACACCTTTCGTCCTGCAATGCATAAAACCTGTTAATATTGTAGTTTAATTATAATTGGATTCATTTACAGGTAGCTCGGGTAATTCTACGAAAAAATAATTGGAAATATTTACTTCCTTTAAAATTTTGTATGTGGGTTTTGTACAATGTGTTTAATTGATTAATTAATATCACCTATACATCACTATATAATCGGTGACCTCTCTCAGTTCTGGAAAGCTCATGTTCTCGAAGATCTTAGGTGTGGCGCGTTCCATTAACACCATACTCAGCGTGCCTTCGATGACTCGGCAGCCTTTCAGCTGCGCGAAGCTCTCCGGCTTGTTCCTTATATCCATCGACGAACATACTAGAACAATAAAGATAATAAGTTAATATTGATACATTGTAACATTCATTGTAACACGATTTAACTACTTGTCAATACATCAAGTTAATAATTGCGATACCTAGGTAAATATATTAATTATATTTATGCCGCATTAAAGCATATGTTTATCAATTAACGCATTAGTTATAAGAATGTGAGTTAGGTATCCCTTTTTAAAAATGCGACTGATTCTTCTGATAGCTATTAAATATGGCCATAACTAGGGGTAGGGTATGGATAGGGTAGGCATTATTTAACACACTTAATAGGCGCCCATCAGTCAAGTTATACTAAACAACAAATTAGTTATTAGTGTTTTCGTAAACAATTCAATTATTGGCACAAATAACCCCCCACTGGCTAACTTGTATCATAATTAACGCACACTAGGGAATTTGATTGTCCCTACCTACATGATAAATTAAGTGTAAGAGAGTAAATCCGGTATATACATATATATATATTATCTACTTTTTTAGTTTCCATAAATAATGCACGCAATGTCTGAATTATTTTGTACAATAATTTAAAAGTTCCGCATTTAATTTCACCCGTAACAAAAAACCTTCCTAGGAGTCATACGTTCTATACCTAGTACAAAGCCGTCTAGTAGATTGTGTGCTTATCGCCTTTATACGGACAGACGAAAAGGGACATTTTATAAATAAATTCAAGAATTTTATAATAAATTACCTATCTAAACTTATTCAAATAAGTATCAATAGAAACCAACCTCTGCGGATCAAATAAATAACGTAAGTATATTAACTCGTCGAGTACCGGTTTTATAGACACAATTAAAGAACAACAGGTCGCGGTCACCGGTGACCGCTTGGTGTTTGACAGTTTAAATTGCAATATCATTTTAAAAAAATAGCAAATAAATAACGTAAGTATATTAAATTGCAATATAATTAAAAAAAAATTGTTCTGAACTGACTACTTAAGTGTGAGTGAGAGTAAAACTGGCCTCTAAAATGTTATCTAGGTTTTCCAGTATTACTAGTCTAAGTGTAATGTATATTTGTGTATAGAAGTAGTCATTTTAATAGCTAACCTTCCGTAGTTAATTTACTACTTGTTTGTTAGTGATGTTGTGAGCCTACGACAAAAGAATTGACAGAATTGTAATAACACAAGTACAAGGCCAATATATTGCGCAGTTTGTATCACTTCATTCGGCTACTCTTTCAGGGCGAGGAAGTTAAGGTCAAAGGCTGACTGCGCATGTGCACAAAATGCGCGGGAGGGAAACCAAGATGGCAGCATAAACAACGGGTACGACGTGTAAGCCATGAGGTCTGTGGCACGCAATAACAGTGTACCACGTTTTCTCACTGAAATGAGACCCGATATTTTATTTTACTGTCGTATTAAAATTACCTCAGGTAACATATTCATCCTTCTTAACTAAAGGACCCACCTATATAAAAATGAAGCAACTATTACTGATAGACTAACATTGGGAACGCAATGGTCAATCAATAACCATTTTATAATAACTGGCATTGCTACCACGAATCGTAAACTTGTTTGGATAGGCTGAAATGGCGCAATGACGCGGGAAGGAGGAGGGAATGGCCCGGTGAGTGCCACGCCGTGGTGTGCGTGATGCAGTGGGGTGGTGGGTGGAACAATACCACGTACCTATCTAACCTGAAAACACGTCAGTCGACAGCGAGCGACACGACACAATGCAAATGAACTCGACGCATATTGCTGTCTCACGTTCCGCAAACCTCGGTCACTCAGCTCACTGAGTATTTATAGAGCACGGAATGTTATTGTAAAACTTTAAGGAATAGTGTTGGACCTCAACGCTATGTCGATAGATCCATATTACGTACACTAAAGTACTTCAATGGTCATCATTATTGGTCCCCGTTAAATATCATTTTTATATCGCTGTAAATAACGTAACAACATGTTGTGGATCCTGTAAAAACAATTGGGTTTTCTAAAAACAAATAAATTTTACTACATTACAGCAAATAAGGAACAACATATTTCGGGTTAACTATGGATTAAACCACATTTTTATGGGGTAGAGATAAAACGAGTAGACATATCACCTGATGATAAGCAATCAATGCTTCCCATGAACAACCACAAGACTAGTGTGACAACATTACATTTACGGGAAAGTACTTACAGAAGCGAAACATCTCCATAAGAGGCGAAACACAATGCAAGCGTAATTACTAATTGTTCTATCAACATCCCGCCAGCAAAAATAAAATAGCGTTGTGTAAGAGATGGCATTTACCAGTACATAAAATTATTGTAAACGGCTATTAATGAAAAGTAAAATATCGACAACATTGGTATCACTATTGGAGTTGCACTGGATGTACTGACGCGGTAATAATGAAGCTTCTCCCTCCCCCTCAGCACGCTGCGCGATTACTACGTCTCTACTACAGCCTCCTCTCCTCCCGCTCGCACCCTTGGCCGTCATATCGTGGCGCCGCGCGACGTCGCTGTGCGCTTTATAACATCCAACGAACAGGTTTAACACATCTCATTTACTCACATCTGGGACATTAAACCTCAAAACAAGGGAATAAGGTTTATACTAAAAACCTAGATCGCTAAAAATGACGATTTATTTACTACACATTTCGAGCAGGTAGCTTTTACGTTTTACGATAATTTTATAAAATTGCAGTCATTGAGCTCAGCTTCGAATTGTGGATAAACAAGTTGATTCACGTGTTGTATTTCAACGTATTGTCAAGGCCTGAGTAGTAAGACGCGTGTAATGTAATGCAATGATGCATATCACGTCGGTGCATTCTTTGCTTGCAATAGTACGTACATTGCGTAGATACGCGTAATCCACTTACACGTGGATTGTACTCGACCAATTCGATGAATGAATGTGGTACTTACATAATCAGTTATATAATTCCAATGTTGAGCACTCAGCCGTCATCTCGGTGAGAGTGAATCCAGTTGAGGCGTAAATGGGCCATGCGGTTAGTCCCTAGTGAGGGCGTGTTGATGACCTTATCAATGTTTTATAATTCTAATTTTGGCAAATTTAAGTATTATTTGCATTCAAATCACCTATCAACCTACGCTAACCTGAGACATGTTACATAAAGATAGGACAGAGCATTATGCATGGATGAATAGAACATCAAAATATAAACATGTAAGTATGTAGTAACCACAACCATGGTAATCAGCAGAAGCATATCAGAGGAAATTGGAACATATACCTCATACTCATTGACACAGTTAGAAGAAAAATAGTTCACGTCTACAGTGACAGGAAACGCATTCATATCCCGGTAAAATATCTTCACAATAAAATTCCAATCCTGTAACTGTCACTAAATAGGAAGTGGGATCCTTTTCTAAGATTGCAGATAGTGCAGATACTAATTATTGTGGTCACGTGAAGTTCACTTTGCAGCGACCTTCCTTACGACCTTGTACAACTGCACTTATTTCATTGACGGTCGTTTCTTTTCCTATCTATATATAAAAGCAAACATGCATTGGGTTTCAACTATGAAGAATGGGCCCCTTTTAATTAATTACGACAATTATAATATTTATTAATATAGGTACACCGTGGTGCTTAATGAATGTATTAACTCGTCGAGTACCGGTTTTATAGACACAATTAAAGAATAATAGGTCGCGGTCACCGGTGACCGCTTGGTGTTTGACAGTTTAAGATAACATAAACAATAGTGGAATCTTTGGGATATTTCATCCACTCGTGTTTACAACGATAGTACAGATTAAGTAAATAAATAAATACATTATTTATAATAATTGAAATTATCTCTGTATATTATGATAAAAGTAAATTTCACGTCTTGTTTGAATAATGACTAATGTCTAAACATTTTTAAGATTAAACATAAATAAGATGATTAATTCAGTTACCTAAAGACTAACAGGAAAAGTTCTAAAAAATGTACTGATGTGACCGTGCCGGTGAACGGCCGTCCGCGCCGCCAACGCACCGCCCGCAAGCGCAGCCGCAGCATCAGCGCAGGCGCAGCTCTATTTCCGACTTCGTCGCCGTCGCGCAACTAACGACGCACATGACTCACTGCACTTTCACTGCAAATAGTACCGCTCGTCTACTAACTAAATTATAACTAATAGATAAGTTCACACTGTAAAGCTGCGAATTTTATTAATACACATTAAGTAAACTTACAAGGGAATGTTCCAAACCAATGAACGGATAACCAACTAATTAATTTGAAAGAAGTATAGTCAGAATTTTAATTAGATTCCAGATTTGACAATAGCTACTGTCATTTTGTGAAATAATGATACCACATATAATAGTGTAGTGATGCACACAAAAATCGATAAACAATCTGTGTGAGTGATTTATAATAAATGTTACAGAAAGTAACAGGATAGCGATAGCGATGACGGCGACAATTTTTAAAATAACTTATTACCATAATACATCTATCTGTTTTATTTGTTATGTTCCCTTATGATTACATTTTTTTATTTATTTCACACACAATTATAAAAGAAACGTCTCAGATCGTTAATTAATCGTCAAAACTAAATTATCGGTTCAGAAATATTTAATTTCCTGATATACTTAGTGCACGAGAGTAAAATTATAATTGTTATAAACGAGAAGAATCGATCCAGGAATATTGCATTTCCATATCGAATAATTTCGCAACGTCACTATTTAGTACTTGTCATAACGTTGCCACACTGAATTTGTCAAATCTGGAATCGAATTAAAATTCCGAGTATAGGTAGCACAGTGAGTACATGACATACGTAATGATCCTGCTTCAATATACTAAGTTGTTTCGTGAAAGATTCAAAACGATGTAAGTATTATATTACAGTTCAATATCTAATTCCACTACGATTGATTTGATTGCATTTGAATCAACACGATTATGAATGACACAATAAAAACAATTGTATCATATAGGGACTCTTAAGTGTATGTTATTGCAAACAGAAAATATGGA